AAGGGCAGGAGAGGGCCGAGGCTCCGCCTGCTGCTCCGCTGCCGAGGGAACAGCGCAGGGAGATGTTTTCCAGGGAAAAGGGCTCCCCCCTGGGAGCTGGGGACACCCCGGAGCTTTGCTGTGCCTGGAACGGGGGGCCAGGAGGGCTCCGGGCCCTCCTCACCCTCCCACACGCGGGGGACGCAGGGAGAGGAGGAGGAGGGAGATTCTGGGGTGAAGCCCGGGAAAAGGGAGCACTGGGAGCACTGGGAGCACCGGGCCCAAAGCTCCCCGAGAGCAGGGAGGGGTCGGGCCGCTCTCCCTCCCTCCCTCCCTCCATTCCACCGAGTTTTCCTGCTCTGCCGCTCCCAAAAAACACCCGCTGGGCTTCAAGGGAATGACACCGACCCCGTTTCCCTCCCGAGGGAACCCATCCCGGCTCCGTCCCTCCCTCCCGGAGGGGAGGGCAGGGCCCCGCCCGGGGCACTCGGAACCCTTTCCCTCTCCAAAGTGTCTCCCTGGCTGGAATGTGGCTCCGGGGGCAGCGGCTGCGCAGGGGAGGGAAGGATTGGGACGGTTGGTTGGTCTTTTTTTTGTTGTTTTTGTTTTGTTTCGTTCTGTTTTCCTTCGCGTTTGGATTTCTGTAGGAATTCAAAGGAAAGGAAAGGGGGTTATTTATTTCTTTTTAATTTATTTTGTCATATTTTTGTAAAACCTGCAGAAATGCAATAAAAATCTATTTCAACAAGCCCGAGGCGTTGGGGTGTCATTATAATTATCATCAGCACGTTATTATATCGTTAGTGTTGTAATTAGTGTGGCTTGCAGGGTGCTCAGGGGATGAGGATCCCTGGGAAAGGCAGGTGGGGACACCACGGACACCCCTCAGGATAAAGCTCCAAGGACAAGCCCCAACCACGCTGGGATCAGAGCAGAGGAAGAATAAAGCAAGTTCTGATGCTCTAAATTCTGCAAATTTATTATACACAGTATCAAACATGGAAGAGTTTAAAAAGAAACGCCAAAAAAAAAAAAAAGAAAAAAAAAAAGAAAAAAAATTCCAATGGCCACGACAATTCCAACCCGGCTGACGGGGGATTCACGGGCACCCCCCAGGGAAAACCCACCTTTTCCAGCCCCAGAGACGAGGTTTGGGCTAAAAACAGAGGAGTGAAGTCGCCAAGAGAGGGTGGAAGGAAGAGACTCCGGATCTTGACGCTGCAAATGGAAAAATCCGGAAAAATCCGGCACTGGGGGATGGTGGAGCCTCCTGGAGCTGCTCCTGGACACCCACCCGGGACTGGAATCACCCAAGGAAGGTGGTTAATTAACTCTGAGCTGATTAGTGGATGTGTCTGGGAATGGGCACCAGCCCAGCCCAGCCCAGGGGTGACTCAGCCCAGCCCCTTCCAGGGGGATCAGTCAGCCCAGATCCATCGGGAGCAGCTCCTCCTGCTCCCCCCCAGCCCCTTCCAGGGGGATCAGCCACCCCAGATCCATCGGGAGCAGCTCCTCCTGCTCCCCCCCAGCCCCTTCCCACCCTCCTGGACTCGGCCTTGACCGAAGCAGGGAAGAGCCTTTGCCCCCTCAGACCACCCCAGACCTCCAAACCCCAGCAGCCCCGGGCGTGTCTGGAGCAGAATCCCAGGATCTGGCGCTGCAGGACACGGGAGATCCCGGGATGAGCCGTTCAGGGATGGGGGGGGGGAGTGAAAGGTGCCAAATAAAGTTTCCTTCAGCCAGGAAAACGGGGAAATGGGAAGGAACAAGAGCACAGATCCCCATCCTCGTGCTGCAGGAGGCAGCTCCCAGCGGGATCCACATCCCTGCGGGGCTGGAGAGAGCAGGGACAGTGTGCTCTCCCATTCCCAGGGGAAGGAGAACAGGAGCAGGGGGAAAAGCTGTGGAAAAGCTGTGGGGTACCTCGTGCAGCCCCCTCTCCCACGTGGAAACACCCCTGCTCTGACACAGGGCCGGGATTTCCAGCCTCACCAGCCCAACACTCCCTTCCCATCAGCAGAACTGGGAATCCTGCAGAGGTTAAAAGCCACCTCTGGAAGGGTCAGGGCCACCAAGAGGACCTTTGTCAGTCCCTAAACCCACACAATTCCTCCTCATACTGGAGAAACAGGGGGTTGCTGGGAACAGGGAGATCAGTTCCTACTGTCTGGGGACACACCAGGAGAGTTCTGCCTTTGAAAGGGGGTCCTGGAGAACCTGGGAGGTTGGATTTCATCCCCTCGCTCCAAGATGTTCCTCCCTGAGCCCAGGTTTGGTCTTCCCAGCATTCCAATGTTTTTTCCCTGATGGGCTTCACCAGAGCCACGATCCAACCCCCTCTCCTGGCAGCTGCTCCCAAATAAACACAACCCCCTCCTCCTTAAGGGAAAGGATTCCCCCGTTCTTATACGTCCAAAAAATACAATATATAGGACAAAACCTGGGAGGGACCAGCTGGAATCCCCCTGGACACGCTGTCCCACAATCCCTTGGCTGCTGGGACTTCGTTAATGCAGGAAAATAAATTAGTTTTATTAGTAAAAAAAAAAAAAAAAAAGACTGGAAATGTAAGTGGGGACAGAGCTGCAGGGTTGGGAAAAAAATCCCAAGGTTCCTTAGCCTTTGCCTTAAGGCCAGTGTCAAACTCCCCCAAAAATAAAGCTTTGAAGTCAAACTTGTCCCAGTTATCCAGGAAAAAAATCAGACTAATATTTCAAAATTTGCCTCCCAGTGAGTCAGGGAATGATGGAACACCCTGAGCTGGAAGGGACCCCCCTGTGTGGGCACATCCCGGTGTTTTGGGGTTGGGAAGGACCCCAGGAGGTCCCTCAGGAAAGTTCCCAAGAGGAGACACCGACGAACCAAACCCAGCCAAGGGTCAGCCACCGACTCCAACGGCACGTCCTGGCCCCGGCTCCCTGTGGATTCACCTGAAATCCATCCTTCCCCTCCACACTCCCCATCCCTGGCTCTTCCACGGGGACCTTCCCTTGCTGTTCCTCCCCCAGGAACCAAACGGGACCAAGAACCGAGTCAAGGAGTCACCCGACATTCCGGCGGCAGGAAAAGGCTTTTCCCAACTTTTTAATGTTCTAAATGCACCCAGAACACATCCCATGGGGTGGGAGGAGCTGCTCCTGCACGGATCCACCCTCCCTCCACGCGCCGAGTTCCGAGAAGAGACGCACAATTCAACCAAAACACCCCAAAATTCCCCATCTCGGACAAGTAGCTCGAGTTTTCATTAAAAAAAGCCAGATTTTAGTAAACAATTGGTAACAGAAACAATAAAAATCCCACTGTGCAGACATAGAAAACCCCCGGAGGGTCACGAGATCCCGGGAACGGGAGGAGAAGTCGGAGGAGCCGGGAACTGTACAAACGAGGTGGGCAAAAATCCCAGGTCTGGTGGGGTTTTTTTAAGGGTTTCTCGTTGTTTCAATGCACTAAGGCACCAGGAAGTCACAGTTAGGCAAAGATCTTCCATGGAACATTCCAAGCCGAGACACTCACCGTGGGGACACGGGATCAGAGGGCAGGGGGGGAGAGGGGGCCAGGAAAAAACCTGGAATGAGCTGGAGGAGGAGGAAGGGAGGGAGTGCTGGGGGCAGAGAGGGTGGAGGAGGACAGGCTGTGGGGATCCCAAATCATGGATGGGAGGAGGACAGGCTGCAGGGATCCTAAATCCATGGATGGGATAAGGACAGACTGCAAGGATCCCAAATCATAGATGGGATGAGGATGGGCTGCAGGGATCCCAAATCCATGGATGGGATAAGGACAGGCTGTAGGGATCCCAAATCCAT